ATGCACGATAGTCGATCATATATGTGGCAAATGTCTCTTTTCTGTTCTCTTTCTTTCTTTAACGTCACTTGCTGATCGACTTTCTTGTCTTGTTCCTGGCAAGATTCAGATTCCCTGTTTCTTTTTTATTTTGTTGTCTTATTAGGCTACATAAAGATATGACGTATGTGTTATCCTTTTCTTTTTTTCAGCTCTATCATAGAGTATCACATTAATCTGTGTACATCACACCGACGTTCTATCAACATCGCTTTTGGGTAAATCTTCTCGCTTATAGTATTCTGATGTTAAGGTAAACCAATTGCCTCTCTTGGATATCTAGCGAGATTACAAATGGATTTGATCGATATGAGAAGCATGCCGACGGTGAATTTAAATGGATTTTACATACCAAAGATCATTTTACGAAATACTCATGGGCATATCCTTTAAGGTCGAAAGAAGCTGCGCCGGTGGCTGAAAAACTTCTCCAACAGTTTTATAGCTTTGGACTACCGAGAATTTTACAATCAGACAACGGTAAAGAATTTATTGCTAAAGTGATAAAAGTAAGAATTTTTCTCCAAACCTCAAACTTCGGAGTGGTACACCTATCTTACTTTTTCGTGCAGGATTTAAAGAATACTTGAACTGATCTCCTTATTATTAATGGGCGAGCTAGACACCCACAAAAACAGGGTTTGGCGGAAAGAGGCAATCAGATATTGGAATTAGCTGTGGGAAAATGGATGCAGTCCCAAAATACGACAGAATGGTCAAAAGGTATATAAAAATTCATCATCCTCCCGTTTTGTCACTTAATAATAGTACTGCGAAAATCCATTATTCTGACTATTACTTTGATCTAAAATTTTTGTGAATATGAGATATTGCTTAGTTTTTTCTGCTCTTTCGAATGAGACGTTGATCAAACACTTTTTGAATGAAAATTGTCAATGTTATTGGTAAAAAACTGAAAAATGACGAGTTCTTCGACCTTTCCACAGGTTTTTTGGAAAAATTTGATTTTCTCATAGAAAAAAAACGTACTGAAGGAGGAAAAGCTTTTTCTATACTTAATCTTGGCTGAAAAATCGACTAGAAACAGTGTGACGGCGAAAAAAATTATTTAGAGCATTTTCTGTGTTTTGGTCATTTCCAGCTCTGGCTATTGTGGTACCATTTTGATCCCGAGTTGCATCGATTTTGGCATTTTTAAACAATGCATCAGTGAAGAATTGTTTCCTCTATTAAAATATTGAAACTCTATTATGAAGTTGTGTTTGGTTGCTTAAAATATTCAGGTTTTTCCACAAAAGTCTCAGTTTTTCAAAATTTTAGTAGAATATTTTTTTGCGACTACTATTTTAACTTTAAAATCTTTTTAAATATCAAATTTTATTCAGCTTTGTGCGCTCTTTCGAATGAAATGTCGTTAAAAAAAATCGAACGAAAACTGACGGTTTTATACACAAAAAGCTGAAATTGGTCAATTTTCGGGTTTTTTGAGCTTAGGCCTTGGGAAAACTTGATTTTCTCCAAACCAAAATGACTTATAAGGTTTAAAAAAGTTTCGTTAGCCCAGTTTTACATGCTGAATCGAATGATGTAACTTTTAACAAAATGTATTTTTTGCGATTGACAGGTATACTCGATAGCGTCGTCGAGGCTCTCTTAATCGTTATATCTGTTCATACTTCTACGGATACCCACCTGAAACCGACCATTAGAAATATATATAAAAAACTTGAAAAAATTTAAAAAACTCCAAACGAGTGTTAATCATCCTTCTTTTCTCTCTTTATCCGTGAGTCATATACGCTTCTCGGCGGCAGGCTGATCGGATCGACCAATCAGAGTAGCTCCTGCACACTAAAGAGGATCATGTGAGGTGACGGTGTGACACTGTCTGATTTGACCGTCTCGCTAAAATCCTGTTGTTATCATGTGGGCAATAGTTCAGAAACTTCTTAAACATCGTCCAAAGTTTTAAGTATTAAGATAAGATTTTAGCAAAAAATTTAATATCTGGGGCTTTCTTTAAAAACTTAGCTGTTGAATCAAAACTAATCATACGACCATGATTCTAGTGTAATTTGATCGCGAATCATTTTTAGTTATGATCGTGTTTAAGATAGTTTAGAAAAGGCTGTACTAGGATACAGGTTAACCATTAATTAATTCTAATTAACGCCGACTATGGACAATTCAGCGATTTACATTTTTATTTACAAATCAACCGTTCTTTGAAAATAATCACACGATACATCATTCGAATTAGCTTTCTAAGCGCTACAAAACTGTGTATTTGCTTTTCAAAAGAATAAGATTTTGACTGAGTTATGAATCTTTTAATTTTTGATGAAAATAGTCCAGAATGGGTTATTCACCTATTATCCTGCTGCTAACTTCCCTTGCGTGACGTTTTCTAAACAACTTGTGAAGATCTCCTAAAAGTCACCAGATTCTCCGGTGAAATTTCCTCCAGCCCATAAATTACATTCAACCAGACAGTTTCTCTAAAGAGTTATGAGTGATGCTAAAATTCTTCGCAAAAACGGAGAGGAGAAATTAAGATGGGGTGTGTGGTACCTCCAAACTTATACCTATTGAATATATCTGAGACAGAAAAGAAGAAAACTTTTTAGTTTTGTAACTGGTAAAGTGCTTTTAGATTCTTTCCTTCATGTTAACTTGTTCTATTCTATGAATAAAAACATTAATCATACAAGCTTCGATAATTTACCGTTAGTAACGGCTTTTTACCGAGATCCCTGCGGTAAAATCTTGAGATTTTTTACGGTTTGAAACTACCCCGGTAAAAATCTGATATTACTACTGAAGCGTCGGTAACGGTAACACGTTACCGCTTGAAAATCTTCGACCTTGACAAAATGTATCTTATTTTTTATTTCGAAAAGTATATTTTAATTTCCTGTCGCAGAAAAGTCACTGTTTGAACGTGATTGGCGAGTGAGAAACGTAACTCAGAATCCCTCTAATGGGAAACGAATCAAGCAGTCACAAATCACATTTATAACTTGATTTTCCAACTCTTTCGGCGCATTGTTTAAATGCAGTAAACGAATATACTGCATATGCGAGAAATATCACCTTATTTGCCAGATTTCTATCATGAGTGGTAGAAGAACAAAGTTTAACAGTTTTCGCTTCTCTAAAAGAACGTTCTTTGCCTCTTTCTTCTTTCAGTTAATAACCGTATTCATCGATCTAAGCACATTTTCTAAAGGATTACCATAAACAACACTGTTAAAACAAGGCAAAGCTACGTAAGACTGATTTTATTCTAGCAAAAGCAGCTGGCAATAGGTACAAAAAAGAGTACGATCTCCTAGTACGCTTCGAAATGTAAAACTCCAACAAGCCTTAGTTTCCCAAAAAAAAAACATTTCTCTGTAAAGTGACCAAGAACTATGCATATCAATCGATTTCTGATGCTTTGACGGAGGAAAATGTGGTCAAATCTACAGAAGAAGCCCACGATTTAATTGGTATTCATTACGATTCTAATGATTACGATGTATGTATGCATTTGATAAAGCATCATTTTCCACTGAAAAAGATTCAAGTAATCATGTTTTCACAATCAAGTCTAATAAGAAAAATTGGCTACTTAACAGCGCTAAAAAATCATTCACTGGATGTTATAAACTATATATTTTTAGACAAGTAGCGGATTACAGATGTTAAAAAGACTACCCCCAAAATAATAGAAGCCCCTCCTCCACTAAAATCCCGTTAATTTCTCGACAATACCATTAGGGGTGTCACTTTACTTTTACTTTTTTGTTACGTTTCCGGAAAAAGTAACAAATGTATGTTAGACACTCGAATGTTGTATTGTGGTTTCAGCTCTGTTGTTCCATTACACTTATATAGTTATTAGAGAACAAAATGTTGCACACGTACGCCTTGTGTCATTTTTTCATTGGTAAACGGAAAATGTATTTGACTATACTTCCACCCGCCGAAAATTGTAAGTAAGAAAAGAATGCTAGTCCTGATTGAATATGTTTAAAATATTTTATGGAAGAGGAGATCCCTTGACGTTAACTGTTTGAATGAATAATGGTGCGTTTTTCCTTCATAGGAAGCCAATTTTACTTGAAAGTGGGCCGATTTCTAACCTTATGCGTTCCCGTCCTTTTTTGTTCCAATGAAGCGTTGATCATTATTTTCAAAATAACTTTTCAATTTATTACGGACTTTTTAGGAACTTCGAAACTACTTCTGAAAGGAACCAAAGTACTTGAAGTACTCGAAATATACTTAAATTTCAAGTGCAAAGTGCCAGTATTGTTCTGAAGTACAAGTACAAGTAACCATACTGTGAACGAAATGAAATATTATCAGTCTCTTCTCTGTTGGAATTCTCCATAATTCTCTTCTAGCAGAAATGAATTAAAAAATACAATAACAAAGTAAAACGTCAATATCGTCTGTGTTCCATTTTTGTAGGGCAATAAAGAAATTCTATTTGCAAAGCTATTCAATGGTAACGAAAGATACCATTTTTGCTTTTGTTTCACTTTCATCAGAATAAGAAACAGAGTGAGTTAAAGTGCCTGACTAATGTGTGCTTAGAACGATAAAATATTCGTTCGATTACGGTGAGCAAAAGATATTTCACGTTTCACTTTCAAACAGCAACAAGACATTTTCCTCATACCAAGGCAAGTTGATACTATCTAACTCCATTTATCATGACTCAGTTCTCTAAATGTTTGCGTGTGTGCTCACCCTCACTCTAACATTGTTGATACTGTTCAAGTTGCATGATTACATATCAACTTGTCCAGTTTCTTCATGAATGAAAGGATCTCTCTCACACAGACTCAGGTGCCACCAAACAAGAAGATTAAAAGCTAAAATTTGAACGCTAATCATGAAACTTAAACAGTCATTAGGTACCTCTACTTGCTGCATAGGAAGTATTTGTTTAGTGCTTTTCTAGATCCACTGACGTTTCAAGCACCCATCGGTTCCAAACAGTCTAATCAATGGCAAGTCCAGCTAACCAAGCACGAGCTCAATGGTATTGGAAATCGAATTCTGATCCATGGTCAGCAAATGCAAAAGAAGAATGGACAAAATATTCTGATATCGAATCAGCGATTATCGAAGAAGTATTTAATGGAAAAAATAAAACAAAACTAGCTGAACTAGATAATTATTCGATTAATTTACACGATTACATTCAAATCAGTAAATCGGATCCAAATAAACAACGGCAAATAAAGCGAGTTCTAATTAGTAGATATGAAAATCAAGGTTTAAGAGAAGAAAGATTTTCCATTCCACCAGCATTGAGTAAAACGTTCAATGATGACTGGGGCAAAGACGCTTATACTTTTCTTTCACAGTGGAAGGAAGGAAAGAAACTCTCTGATGCTGAAATCGTGAATCAGGCAGTGAATGGAATCATTATCGAAGGAAAGAAACTAGAGCAGCATTGTCAGTCGCAATATATAGCTCGCAAACTAATAGCCGTGGCAAACCAGAACAGAGAAGAAATTTACCATTGCTGCAATCAGCTATACACAATGGAATCCTTCCTATACCAACTAATAAATAACGCACTGCGAGCAAACGACATGAACAAAGCAAACACTCTCGGCCCATTTTGCTACATTTTATTCAGAAGCTGCCTTAAAAAAACCACCAAACATACAGCGGAACTCTATCGAGGAGCAACCATCGATCAAAACATGCTTAAGTCGTATGAGGAAGCGACTGGCCAGAGCAGATGCTGGGACGGCTTTACCTCAACCAGCAGAAACCCTCAAAAAGCGCAAAAGTTCGGCAACACCTTGTTTATTATCGACGCCACCAAAAATGGTGGCTTGGACCTTTCGCCACATTCCCAATACGATGAAGAAGAAGTCCTACTTCCCCCAGGAACACTATTTACGGTCACCGACGTCAAGAAAACCAAAACCAAAACATGTATCTATTTGAAACTAAGGAATAATAACCATACACAACACCCACAATAATATATATAACTGATACCTATCTAACTGTCGCCGGGAATGCATTTCTCCGACGAAAATGAACTGCCATCTGATGCCACTCAACATCTAGGAGATACAGGAAAAGTATAATCGTTGACAATCTTCACAAGCTGCATTATCACTCATTCAGTTGTTGGTTGTTGGCGATCTCGTCGCCGTCTGATGAGCATAGCTGTGACGTAAGTGAAATGCCATCTGCGGCCATGAAATAAATAGGACATAAAGGACTAATCGGCTGATTGGCATGCTCCACTACCTACATCATCATTCATTCGGTTGTTTCCGACCTCGTCGTTCTCACATGAGCATTGCTCTGCCGAAACTGAAATATCATCTGGTGGCATGGAACATCTACGCGATAGACGAATAGTATAATCTTCCCCATTTTTCACAAGCCGCATCATCATTGATTCAGTTGTTCGTGACCTCTTCGTCGTCAGATGAGCATTCCAGTGACAACAGTGAAATGTCTTCTGGTGCAATGGAACACCTACGAGATACAGGAATAACCAGCTGCTTCGTATTCTTCCCTACCTGCACGCTCAGTGATGCAGTCGTTGCTCACCCCTTCGCCGTCAGAAGAGCACTCCTGTGACCAGAGTGTAATGTCATCTGGTGCAGTGGAACATCTAGGCGATAGCGAAATAATCTACTGGTAGGCATTCTTCACTACCCGCATCATCTTTGATTCAGTCGTTCGTGACATTGTCGTCGTCCGATGAGTATTGCTGTGACGAAAGTTAACTGCCATCAGCCCCCATGGACCATCCCGGAGATATAGAAATCATCTGCTGATTGGCGTTCTTCACCAACCGCATCATCATTGATTCAGTTGTTCGTCAACTCGTCGTCGTCAGATGAGCATTGCTGTGACGAACGTGAACTGTCATCTGGCCCTTTAGAACATCTAGGAGCTAGAGGAATAATCTGCTGATTGGCATTTCTCACCAGATGCATCATAACTGATTCAGTTGTTTCTGATCTCGTCGTCGCCAGATGAGCATTGCTGTGACGAAATTGAAATGTCATCTGCCCCATTAGAACATCTAGGAGATAGAGGACTAATCTGCTCATTGGCATTTGTCACCAGATGCATCATCACTGATTCAGTTGTTTGTGATCTCGTCGTCGTCGTCACATGACCAGTGCTGCGACGAAAGTAAAACGTCCTTTGGCGCCACGGAACATCTAGGCGCGAGAGGAATAGTATAATCTTTGGCATTCTTCATTAGCTGCATCATCATCGATTCAGTTGCCGGAGACTTCGTCGTCGTCAGATGTGCAGTGCTCTGACAAAAGTGAAACCTCATCCGGCGCCATTCAGCAACTAGGCCAGAGAGGCATACTATAATCTTTGGCATTCTTCACTAGCTGCATCATCATCCATTCAGTTGTTGGTGGCCTGGTCGTCGTCAGAAGAGTATTGCTGCGAGGCACGCGACATGTTAACCCGTGATATGGAACATCCAGGACAGATAGGAACAGCGTAATCTTAAGGATCCTTCACTAGCTGCACCATAATTGATTCACTTGTTGGTGACCTCATCGTGGCCAGCAAAGCATTGCGGTGACGATAGTGAAATGTCATCTCGGGCCATGGAAGATTTAGGAGATAGAGGAATAGTATCCTGGTTCCCATTCTTCACAAGCTACATCAACATTGATTCAGTTGTTGGTGATCTTGTCGTCGTCAGATAAGCATCGCTGTGACGAAAGCGAAAGGTCATCCGGTGCCATGCAACACCTTTGAGGTAAAGGAATGATGGCCTGATTGGCATTCTTCAATAGCTTCATCATCAGTTGTTGGTGACCTAGTCGTCGTCGGATGAGCTTTCCTGTGACGAAAGCAAAATGTCATCTGGTGCCATGGAACATCTCGGAGATACAGGAATAATCTGCTGGTTCGCATTTTTCACTAGCTGCATCATCATTGATTCAGTTGTTCGTACCCTCAACGTCGTCTCATGAGCATTACTGTGGTGAAAGTGAAATGGCAGCTGGTGCCATGGAACATCTAGGAAATAGAGGAGTGATCTGCTGCTTGGCATTCTTCGCTAGCTACATCATCATTCATTCAGTAATTGGTGTCCTCGTCAGAGAAGCGTTACTCTGATGAAAAAGACATGTCATCTGGTGGCATGGAACATCTACGAGATAGCGCAATAGTATAATCCTTGGCATTCTTTACTAGCTGCACCATCATTGACTCAGTTACTGGTGATCTCGTCGTCGTCAGACGAACAGTATTGTGACGAAAGTGAAATGTCACCTGATACTATGGAACGTCTAGGAGATACAGGAATAGTATAATCGTCTTTGATATTCGTCAGTAGCTGCCTCATCAATGATTCAGTGGTTCGTGCGCCCGTCACCGTCAGATGAGCATTCCTGCGACGAAAATGAAATGTCATCTCGTGCCATCGAACATCTAGAAGATAGAATAATAATCTGGTACTTTGTATTCTTCACTAGCTGCATCGCCTTTGATTCAGTCGTTGCTGACCTCGCGGTCGTCAGATGAGCATTGCTGTAACGAAAGTCAAATGTCATCTGGTGCCAATGGAACATCCAAGATATAGAGGAATAATCTGCTGCTTGATATTGTTCATTAGCTTCATCATCATTCATTCAGTTGTTGGTGACGCTGCCGTCGTCAGTTGAGCATTGCTGTCACGAAAGTGAAATGAAATCAGGCGCCATGCAATATCTAATAGATAGAGGAACAGTATACTCTTTCCCATTCGTCACCAATTGCATGACCATAGATGCTGACCTCGTCTTCGTCAGATGAGCATTGCTGTGATGAAAGTGAAAGGTCATCTAGTGCCGCGGAACATCTAGGCGAGAGACGAATAGTATACTCTTTGGTATTCTTCACTAGCTGCATTATCGTTGATGCAGTTGTTGTGACCTCGTGGTTGTCAGATGAGCATTGCTGTGGCGAAAGTGAAATGTCAGCTGGTGCCATGAAGTAGTTAGGAGATAGAGGAATAATCTACTGCTTGACATTCTGCACTAGTCGCATCACCATTGATTCAGTTGGTGGTGACGTCGTCGTCGTCAGATGAGCATTGCTGTGAGGGAAGTGAAATGTTAAAAGGTACCATAGAACGTCTAGGAGATAGAGGAATAGTATATTCTTTGGCATTCTTCAGTAGCTGCATCATAATTGATTGAGTTGTTGGTGACCTGGTCGTCGTCAGATGAGCATTGGTGTGACGGAAGCGAGATGTCCTCTAGTTCCATCAAACATATAGGAGATTGGGCAATAGTATAATCTTTAGCATTCGTCACTAGCTGCATGATCATTGAGGCAGTTGTTGGTGACCTCGTTCTCGTCTGATGAGCATTGCTGCGACGAAATTGAAGTGTCATCTGGTGGCATGGAACATCTACGCGATAGAGGAATAGTATAATCGTCCCCATTTTTCACAAGCTGCATCATCATTGATTCAGTTGTTCGTGACCTCTTCGTCGTCAGATGAGCATTCCAGTGACAGTAGTGAAATGTCCTCTGGTGCAATGCAACATCTAGAAGACGGAAGAATATTCTGCTGCTTGGCATTCTTCGCTAGCTCCATCATGATTGATTTTGTTGTTCGTTGTCTAGTCGTCGTCAGAAGAGCACTGCTGGGAGTAAAGTGAAATATCATCTGCTGCCGTGGAACATCTAAGAGAGAGAGGAATAGTGTGTTGCTTATCATTTTCCAGTAGGTACATGATCATTGATTCATTTGTTCGTGGCGTCGTCGTCGTCAAATGAACATTCCTGTGACGACAGTGAATTTGTGATCTGCTGCCGTGGACCATCTAGGAGAGAGTGGAATAATCTGCTGATTGGCATTCTTGACTACCTGCATCAGCATTTGTTCGGTTGTTAGTGGCCTCGTCGGCGTCGGATGGGGATCCCTGTGACGGAAGTGAAATGTGATCTGTCGCCATGTAACTTCTAGAAGGTTGAGGACTAATCTGCTGCTTGGCATTCTTCACTAGCTGCATCATTATTGATTCAGTTGTTCGTGACCTGCTCGGCGTCAGGTGAGCATTGCTGTGACCAAAGTGAATTGTCATCTGATGCTATGGAACATCTAGGAGATAGAGGAGTAGTCTGCTGCTTGGCACTCTCCGCCAGCTGCAGCATTATTAATTCAGTTGTTGGTGACCCTGTCGTTGTTAGATGAGCATTGCTGTGAGAAAAGTGAAAGGTAATCTGGTGCCGTGGAAGATCTAGGCGATAGAGGAATAGTATAGTCGTTGGCTTTCTTCACTAGCTGCATCATCATTGATTCAGTTGTTGGAGACTTCGGTGTCGTCGAATGAGCGTTGCTGTGTCGAAAGTGAAATGTCATCTGGTGCGATAGAGCATCTAGGAGATTGAGGAGTAGTCTGCTGATCGGTATTGTCCGATAGCTGCATCATGATTTATGCAGTTTTTGGGTATCTCGTCTTCGTCAGATGAGCATTGCTGTGGGTTAGGTGAAACGTCAGCTGGTGCCGTGGAACATCTAAAAGATTGAGGAATAGTAGAATCTTTTGCATTCGTCACTAGCTGGATCGTCATTCAGTTGGTTGTTCGTGACTTCGTGGTCAACGGGTGAGCGTTGTTGTGGCGCATATGAAAAGTACCTGCTTCTTCCTCGCAGTGATTCAAGCCGCGGGAATGCGATTTTCGTATTTAGCATGTCGAGAAAGCGTTTCACTGAAGTTTCGGCTTGGAGGCAGTAAAAGAGTTCCGGTCGAAAGTTTTGCATGGAGTCGCCGGAAAATTTTTTTTTACTTCTCTCCGTTTGTCTCTTCCCATATGATAAAACACGATCTTGTTTTTCTATCGTGTCATCGATATAGGGATGACTTAGTAGGTTAATATATTTTGTGATTTGAGTGAGAAAAGGTGTTTCTCAATCACATACTGATAAGCTACCAGTATACATAAAACTTTAAGCTCTATCAGAATTTGAATGTTTGACGTAAAATTATATATGTTTTACTTGGCTTTCTCTTCAGGAACATGATGCACTCATTTCTGGTTCAACTAGAGATTGATCTCAAAATAAGTACATACAGAGCAAATTTCTAGATGTCTTTTAGCTCTTTCTTTCAACGCTGTTTACTTACTCTAAAGTTATCCATTCAGCTTATTCCATTTTTCGTATGTTTTATATATATATATACGGGTGTCTTCACTGGAAAACAAAAATGTGTTTTTTCTCACATGTTTTGTCGAACGTATCACATATAGGTTGATACTTGTTGTATACTTCCTTGAATATGAAACGAAAATTTCGAACGTTTTTTCTCATTTAAGTAACACACAGATATGCGCGATTATTGTACGCTAATATTGTACGGTATGAACGAAAATTTCGAAAAAAATAAACTTGAATGAGATCTTTTTTTCGTTATTAGGTTATATAATGCTAACTGTTGGTGATTAAGGAAAAAAAGTTTCCGACTGTGAGTCTCTTTGTTCTCTTAAAATTCAGCTTTTTCTTTAACGTAGCTACTATCCGTTCCAAAAAGCAAGGCCGGTCATTATTTTTTGGATAACTCGAAGGGAACACAAGATCAAGACTTGCGTTTTTCACCATTCGATGGCCAAGACTTGAAGCTATTTTTCCATAAGCATAACTGGATTTCGGAAATAATTTCCAAAGCTGTTTTTCCCGAGGATCTTTGGAAAACCCGTGCGGTTCTATATAAACATATGAACTTTTTTCATAGATTTACAGCCTGAAGTGTCCTCTACAAAACTGGATCTAAGCGACATCTTGGAAATCTATGGATCGGGGGCTATGAACGTTTTTCCTGAACCCTTAACACTGCTCTGCCGTTAGGTTTGGGACTATCAAAAATGAATGAAAACATAGGTTATCTACTATGTTGAATCTCGAGGCAATGTTAGTTTTTAGAACAAAATGCAACAGCCGAGTGAAAACCTACAGGGTGTCCCATAAGTCACTGAACGTCCTTGATTGCGAATAACTTTTGATAGGAGTCAGATAGAGACCTGCGGTTTCAGCCATTCGAAAGAGGAAACTTGGAGGCATGTTTGCATAACCAACATTATTTTCAGAAGAGTTTTCTGAAACAGGTTTTCTAGGAGATCTTTGGAAAACTAGGCCGTATGTAAAGAGTTTCCAGTAGGACTGTATTGCTTTTTCCACATCGGCTGACAGCTCGGGGTGTCCTCTCCAAAAATGGGGGTAAAGTGAGACCGTGATTTTCCATGCTTCGGGCGTTCTATCAGATTTCCTACGAGTCCCAGGACTGGGACCCGGTGACTATTACCGGTGGACTATGCGCAATCGATCAAGCTGAGTTTCGTGGAAATATTTATTTTTAGAAACAGTTCAAAAAACCTACCGAAAAGCCAGTTTTACGAAAATTAGGGTTTCCCAGCTGTTTTCATCTGATTATAAGATCGAAAAAATCGAAAAGCTTTTTGTTAATAGGTTTTCCACAAACCCCAATGAAAACCTCAGGGTTCCATAAATTTTGTTTCGAGTCAAATTTTGTTTTGTATCATTTTTCACAGTAAACACGGACTTATTAAGGCAGAACCCAAAACCTGAAAAACTTACGTTTTAAACGTTCCGAAGCATTTTTGTGCAAAACCGATGTGATATTCGCAAGCTACGAAACCAACTACATCGAACGATATACAATTTGACGAGTTTCGAAAACAAAAGTTTTCGTCCTAAATTTCACGCAAAATACCTCAGACGGACCTCAGGCAAACATTTCAACCGGAAATTTTTCTCCCCATTCAAGCCAAAACTACCGTGAAAAAGGTTTCTCCACATCCTGAATCCGAATATCGCAGTCCCGCGGCTTGATTCATCGCGAACAAAAAACACGTAATTTTCATATGCGAAAGTGAAATATCATCTGGTACCATGAAACATCTAGGAGATAGAGGAATAATCGGCTGGTTGGCAATCTTCGCCAGCTGCATCATCATTGACTCAGTTGTTGCCGACCTCGCCGTCGTCAGATGAGCATTGCAACGATCAAACTGAAATGCCCCCTGGTGCCATGAAACATCTACGGGATAGAGGGCCCGTATAATCTTCGGCATTCTACACTAGCTGCTTCACCGCTGATTCAGTTGTTAGTGACCCCGTCGTCGTCAGATGAGCATTGCTGCGACAAAAGCGAAACATCACCTGCTGTCAGCGAAAATCCAGGAGATAGAGGACCAATCTAATGCTTGGCATTCATCACAATCTGCATCAACATTAATTCATTTCTTCCGGTCTTCCCCGTCGTCGGCTGAGGCTTCCTGTGACAAAAGCGAAATGTCATCTGGTGCCATCGAACATCTAGCAGATAGAGGAACAGTTTGCTGGTTGGCATTCTTAACAAGTTGCATCAGCAATGATTCAGTTATTGGTGACCTAGTCGACCGCGGCTGAGCACTCCCTTGACGAAAGTAAAACGTCACCTGCTACCATCGAACATCTAGGACATAGAGGAATAAACTGCTAATTCGTATTCTTCACTAGCTGCATCAGCATTGATTAAGTTTTTGCTGACCACGCCGTCCTCCGGTGAGCCTTCCTGTGACCAAAGTGAAGTGTTATCTAGTGCCATCGAGCGTCTTCGAGATAGACGAATACTACAATCGTTGGCATTCTTCACTAGCTGCATTATCATACATGCGGTTATTCGTGACCTCGTCGTTATCAGATGAGCGTTCCTGTGACGAAGGTGACATGTCATCTGGTGCCATAGCACATCTAGGAGATAGAGGATTAATCTGGTAATTGACATTCTCCACTAGCTGCATCATCATTGATTCCGTTCTTGGTCACCTCATCGTCGTCAGATGAGCATTGCTGTGACGAAAGTCCAGTGTCAACCGCTACTACGCATCGTCTAGGAGTCAGAGGATTAAAGTGCTGGTTGGCATTCTTCACTACCTGCATCCTCATTGCTTCAGTTGTTCGTGACCTCCTCGACGTCAGATGAGCATTGCTGTGATGAAAGTCCAATGTCATCTAGCGTCACGACACATCCAGAAGACACAGGCATACTATATTCTTCGGTAATCGTCACTAGCTGCAACATCAAGCACTCGGCGGCTGATGACCCCGTGGTCGTCAGATGAGCATTGCAGTGGTGACAGTCAAATGTCATCTGGAGCCAAGTAACATCTAGAAGATCGATGAATCATCTGCTGCTTGGACGTCTTCACTACCTGCATCACCATTGATTCAGTTGTTGGTGACCTCATCGTCGTCCGTCGAGCATTCCTGTCACGAAACTGAAATGTCATCTGGTGCAATGGAACATCTAGGATATAGAGGAATAATTTGGTAATCGTTGGCATTCGTCACTACCTGCCCCATCTTTGATTAGGTTGTGGATAACGTCGTCGTCGTCCGATGAGCATTGCTGTGACGAAAGTGAAATGTTATCTGGTACCATGCAACATCTAGGAGGTAGAGGAATGTTATAATATTTGGCATTCTTCAGTAGCTCAATCATCATTGATTCAGCTCTTCCTGACCTTATCGTAGGCAGATGAGCATTGCTGTGACCAAACTGAATTGTCATCTAGCGCCGTGGGATATTTTAGAGATACAGGAATAATGCGCTGGTTGGCATTGCGCAACAGCCGCATCATCATTGATTCAATTGTAGGCGACCTCATCCTTGGCAGATGAGCATTGCTGCGCGCAAACTGAATTGTCATCTGGCGCCCTGGAACATCTAGCAGGTAGAGGACTAATCTGCTGCTGGCCATTCTCCACTACCTGTATCATCATTGATTCAGTGGTTCGTGCGCTCGTGATCGTCAGACGACCATTGCTGTGACGACGGCGAAATGGCATCTGACCCCATGGAACATCTAGAAGGTAGACGAATAGAATTATCTTCGAGATTCTTCGATAGCTGCATCATCATTGATTCCGCTGTTGGTGATGTGGTCGCCGTCAGATGAGCATTGCTGTGAATACGGTGCAATGTTATCTGGTGCCACGGAATGTCTAGGAGGTACCGGAATAGTTTTATATTCGGCATTCTTCACTAGCTGCACCATCATTCATTCAGTTGCTGGTGATCTCATCTTCGTCAGATGAGCATTCCTGTGGCGAAAGCCAAACGTCAACTTTGCTGTGAAACATCTACGAGATAGAGGAATCATGTGCTGATTAGCTGTCTTCATTAGCAGCATCATGATCGATTACGTTGTTGGCCACATTGCCATCGTCAGACGAGGATTCCAGTGACGAAAGCGAAAGGTCATCTGGTGGCATGGAACATTTAGGAAATGGTTGAATAATCTGTTGGTTGGCATGCTTCAGTAGCTGCATCATCATTGACTCAGTTGTTCGTGACCTCGTCGTTATCAGATGAGCATTGCTGTAATGAAAGTGATTTGTAATCTGGTGCCATCGAATATCTAGGAGATAGAGCAATAATCTCCTGGTTGCGCTTATTCACTAGCTGCATCATCATTCATTCAGTTGTTAGTGACCTCGTTGGCGCGAAATGAACATAGCTGTGACGGAAGTGAAATTTCATCTGGTGCCGTGAAACATCTAGGATATAGAGGAAAGTTCTGCTGATTCCCATTCTTCGGTAGCTGCATCATCATTAATACAGTTGTTGGTAACGTCGTCATCGTCAGATGAGCATTGCTGTGAGGAAAATGAACCTTCATCGGGCGCCATGGAACAGGTAGGAGATACATTAATAATCTGCTCCTCACATTTTCTATAGACTTCCATAGACTTCTTTTTCTTTTATCATATACATACATATAGTCATTTTTAGTCCATAAAGGATTAGATCATCATCGTTGTCGTCCATCGTCGTTTCTCTATCATTTATGTTTCACTTGTTTTTAAAGAATAAAGATTTTTAAACTACGTCGTTATTCGCACATTCATTTATGTTTGCTAACACCCTTGTCCTACTATTCTAAGTGAGAAAAAGTTTTACATTTCGACGCATTAATTATACATTACTCCTCATACTATCTACTATCCATCAGTCAACATTTACCTAGTAGAATATTAGAAACCTAGAACAGTAGAATAGTAGAATAGCAGTTGTGTGGGAACCGCAATATAATAGGATATTTTTGCAACATATTATTGCGCTGTACTGTGATCAGTGTGTGTTTTATCTGTTGCTGCATCACAGCAACCTTATAGCTTTTATGTTTTGATTGGGATTTAGGAACCCAATGGCGAAATGATGGCTTTTTCTATTGTGTATCTTATAAATTCGTTCTTTTCTGTATACTTCTATACACAGTTGCTGGATGCTTGATGCACTTTTGATCAAACACAACAGAATCCGATGTAGTTTTTCGAGCTGTTTCGAATGGTGAAGTCAATTTTCCCCCAAAATCTTGTCATTTTCCACTTAATCATTTTTCCGACGAAATTTCATGTTTTATATCCCGATCGGGATATAGCACTATCCCCATGGGCATATATATGCCGATCAGGTTATAGGAGGTGTCCCCTGTTCTCCTACTGTTCTAGTATTCTACTATTTTGCTGTTCTTCTGTTCTCCGATTATTCTGCTATTCTACTGATCTGCTATTCTCCTGTTCTCCTGTTATTCTGCTATTCTACTATTCCGCTATTCTACTGATCTGCTATTCTACTATTTTCCTGCTCCGAAACTATTCTGTCATACCCGTATTCTCCTGTTCTGCGATTATTCTGCTATTCTACTATTCAAGTATTCTAGTATTCTGCTATGCTGCTGTTCTGCTATTCTCCTGGTCTGACTTTATTCTCCTATTGTACTATTCTGCTATTCTCCTATTCCCCCGTTCTGCCATTATTCTGCTAATATTCTGCTATTCTCCTGTTCAGCTGTTATTCTGCTATTCTACTATACTTGTATTCTACTATTCCACTATTCTAGTGTTCTGCTATTCTAGTAGTCTGCTATTCACCTGTTCTGCCATTATTCTGCTATTTTTCTGTTCTGCTACTATTCTGCTGTTCAACTATTCTAGTGTTCTGCTATTCTCCTATCCTATTCTCTTATTCTGCTATTGGAGTATTCTAGTATTCGGCTATTCTCCAATTCTCTTATTCTGCCATTCTCCTATTATCCTATTATCGTTCTGCTATTATTGTGCTATTCCGGTACTCTCCTGTTCTGCTATTCTACTAGTCTAGTATTCTACTGTTCTGCTAGTCTGCTATTCTCCTATTCTCCTATTCTGCAATTCTCCAGTTCTGCTATTCTACCATTCAAGTATTATAGTATCTTACTATTCTGCTTTTCTCCTATTCTACTATTCTGCTATGCTGCTGTTCTGCTATTATTCTGCTTTTCTCCTGTTCTCCTGGTCTGCCACTATTCTGCTATTCTCCTATTCCCCCGTTCTGCTAATATTCTGCCATTCTGCTATTCTCCTATTCTGCTATTATTCTGGTATTCTACTATTCTAGTGTTCTGCTTTGCTACTATTATACTGTTCTACTATTTTACTATTCTAGTATTCTACTATTCTGCTGTTCTCCTATTATTAGAGACCTGCATCGGAGTCGGCGGCGGAGTCAACTAAATTTCTTACCTATAATTCATTTTTAACATTAGAAATTTTCTGAGTTGAAGGTTTTGTTCTCTGATATTTTCTCTACAAACTGATGTATTTTGAGAGTCCAATCAACGTTTTATCGAGGCGTACGGACACAAAAGAAAGTCGGAGTCAGAGGTGACTCCGACTTTCTTTCGTGTCCGTAAGCATCGATAAAACATCGATTGGACCCTCAGAATACATCAGTTTGTAGAGAAAATATCAGAGAACAAAACCTTCAACTCAAAAATTTCTAATGTAAAAAGTGAATCATAGGCAAGAAATTTAGTTGACTCCGATGCCGACTCCGATGCAGATCTCTAGCTATTATTCTGCTATTGTACTATTCTAGTATTCTGCTATTCTAGTATTTTACTGTTCTGCTGTTCTACTATCGGCCAATTCTACTATGCTGCTATTCTTATACTCTGCTATTTTACTTTTCTACTATTCTGCTGTCAGGCAATTCTGCTATTTTACTATTCTGCTATTCTGCTGTTCTAGTCTTTTACTATTCTAATCATTTCTATCCAACAACTTAATTTATGGTATAATGAAGTATTGTTAATTATGCACTTTTAATATGCCTTAAAGTGTTCTTCTATTCTACTTTGTATCCTACAATTCTAACTGCCAAACCGAATGATAAACCAAGTGAAAATTACTATCTAATGGGAATTCGCCCATTTCTGGCTGAGGGCAGTTATATAGTCCCTCTCACTCTCTCTCGATCTCGACAGAAAAAAGCGCAAGAGAAATAAATCATTGTCAGAATAAATAAATAAAAGTGCAAGATATTGGCTATAAATTGCAGATTAAAACAGGAACTAGTCGGGGATTTTCGCACAGACTTTTTAGTTTTCTTTAAGCGTTGACACATGATTTTTAACCGTTTAGCGTATGGATAAGGAATCTGGGAATCTTTCTAATTTTACATACGTCAATCTGTCTACAGATCTCCTCTCGGCACTGTCATGGGCTAACCTCACGTTCTAAACTCTGGCTTTCCTTTCATAGGATTCAAGCTTACGATCTATCTCAAGTAGCCCATAAAAATCAAAAAGTTGACCGCTATGCAGCCTGTGCCACCTTGCTGCTTTTGCTACTGCTCGCTTGATTTCGTTATAAAAGTCGTGAGAATAACAGGAGCTCAGTATCAAAAGCATCGATGGATCAATCGTTTAAGAGAAACGCATGAAACCTTGAGACAAACAAAATTAATTCAGCAAAAGTCTTCTCTTCTTATGTGATTCAAAAACAGTTTTGTATACTGTAATTAGGAAAAAGTGCTGCTTATTGTGAAATGCCTATAGGGTTTCTGTTGCTTCTTCGATAATTTTTTTATCAAATAACTCATTGTAATCAGAATGGAGAATCCTGAAGATCTCCTAAAAGCTGGCCGTAAAAAATAGTACCAATCTGTTGAATCTAGAGGTGTGTATTATAAACAACGTAAAGAAGAATCATTTAATATTGATGAGTTTACAATAAAAGATGTTGATATATCTGAAGAACAAAAGTATGATAGTCCCGCACCTGATGTACAAGTGGATAAAAGACACACATTCACAACTCATGCTAGTTCTTCAACAGCATCGTGGGGTAATAATCCACAGTTGGCTGTAATCAATGATCAAGACTATGTTTATCAATCATTAGTATCAAATAAGAAACAAGAAGATGACACTGATATAGATTTTGACGGTATTGAAGTATTTGATAGTCCTGACAGTGGTGCCTCAAGTTGTATGTGTTGTGTTTAGTTCTAGGCTACTTTGTTTCGTTGTTAATACAATCCTCACTATCGCTCTTCACTATAGTTCTAAGTTTCCTTTACGAGCGACTTCTATCCCAGATGCAGAGGACTTTCTAAAATTTTGTACAATCTACCAGAAGGTTTTTCAACGTTTAGCTAAAGCAATATTTTATGAGTTCATTTCTAATTTTCTTTCTAATCTTTGATGGAGTTATAGAGAATAACCAGAGTAATCAAGGATGACTCTAAAATTTTTGCTGAAATTTTTGAAACAGTCCTTTGCACTCCAAAATACATTCTCTATTTCGTTTCATTTTCTAGATCTTCCAGATTTCTTTCTTTTCAGATGCTATATCGCTAGCGGTTTGTGTAAGCCTTGTGAGCTCTAAGCGTGCTGATTATTTCCTGGCCTTGGGAAGTGAATGAAAACTTTTGGAATGATGATTTTCCAGGTTGAAACGAAAAGCGTTTTGAATATAAGCGCCTACGGGCGTCATCTGGTTAGATAGTCTTGAAGTTTCTCTAGTGTGTATTGAAGTTTACTCAAAGAAATGTAAGGATTTCTAAAGTTTGCTTTTCTCATAATAATTGTTTCTTATGTTTCTTTTCAAAAAAAAGAGTTGCAGATAGATGCACATGTTCAGAGAAAATGAACATGGCGAATGGTTTTCTTTGTACACGAAACTGGCTCCTGATGTCAGAGTAGTATTTGTTCCAGTCTGATAGTTATGAGTCGAAAAGGTGTTATATAGGAACTGTATCTGATTTCTGGTATCCCAGTTTTGAGTAAAATTATCACTTACAGTATTTGTTCAAAATCTTTTTTATTTGGTATTCTTTTTGATAGGAGATTTGTTGTGTTGTTTTGTTATAGATTTATGATTTTCTAACGATGAATTCTGCCATAAAAAAACATTTCACTAGAAATTTACTCACTTGCTTTCGTTCAGCAACACCCCTACGACAATATTTCAGTGGTGAGCTTACGACGATAGTAAATAATCATGCAGATTTCGCTCAAGCCGATGAAAACGGACTATTAGTAGCTTTATTACCCTATTGTGCACATGTAATGGGGCATTCGTTCGCATATCGTGATAACGCTATGGAAGTACAAACAAACATTTATTGTATTCTCCTAGCACTTAGTGGCAAGTAAATTGAATGTCTAAGTACAGTAGTGTACTCGGTCATTTTGTCGACTAACTGCGTTTTATCGTTCTTTTCATATGGCAAGTCCTGCTTTTTCTAATATGTTGATGCTTTTACCTTTTAGCTAGTGGGAAAACTCAGATTTTGAACACATTAAAATCATATCTTCTAGAACTCAGACGGATATTGAATAAACATGGGTATAAAATTGAAAATGAGTATTATTATCAAATTGATGATTTAACACCGGCAGGTATTATTGAAAATCTCAAAGAAGCAAGTG